TTTTTTAGATACTTCTGCGTGAAAATTTCGATATGTCTACTAACTTGTCAGTTTATCACCCAAAATGATTTGTCTTTTTTTCACACCGCTTGACTTTAATTTCAAAATCCAACCACATCTGCAGCGCCCACTAACAATGCTCTGGTTTCCGCGTTCATACTTTTGCGTAGCATTGATTGGAAAACAGCCCCGCCGCGGTGGTCTAGTGGCTAAGGTACTCGTTTGCTGACCCGCAGGTCGCGGGTTCGATTCCCGGCTGCGGCGGCTGCATTTCCGATGGAGGCGGAAATGTTGTGGGCCCGTGTGCTCAGATTTGGGTGCACGTTAAAGAACCCCAGGTGGTCGAAATTTCCGGAGCCCTTCACTACGGCGTCTCTCATAATCATATGGTAGTTTTGTGACGTCAAACCCCACATATCTATATATCTTTGATTGGAAAACAGTCATTGTGCATACTTGAGGCAGAACATCAACACTTCAATATACTGTGGTGTGTTTCTTTATGATAAAAGTTATAGATAGGTACTTCTAAGAAACATAACGTTTATTACGCTAAGCTGAGAATGCATAAAAGGGCGGGTGTTTCCTGCGCTTTGTTAAGGCGATACTGGGGTGGCAGCCACCAGCTGCGCGCAGCACTCTCTTCAGACAGATGACCATCGTCATTTGACGACATTTGCTGTGAAACATGCAGATACGGGGCCAATTGTTTTTTTTTTTTTTGTCTTAGCTTTACTCAGGGGTCTACTTAAGGAGCCGCTTAGATGCTGGTAGGAGCAGCAGCAGTAAACCTCGAGCTATGTAATACATCAGCCCCTCAATGGCAAATCATTGAGTGAAAGATGCTGCATTCTTTAAAATGGGGGTCATTGCACTTAATTTAAGAGCAAAACCATATCCTCGTCCTCTCCTAAGTCTATATTTCACATTGCTTTATCTTTTACGCCCAATATAAATGTTTTTGCTTTGCCTTTTGCTTAGTAGGTCTCCCGGTGATTTGTAAGTAAACAAAAATAACACTGATTATTGGTGCTTATCAAAAGACCCAGGCTCACTCAAAAATATAGGCGCAAACAGCTACCTGATGCTTACCTAAAGAAAAATACGTTAAGGCTCCCGTAGGTGCGCTTGACATCAAGCGTGCCTGCCAATCACATGCCATTTCACCTTTTATGCACCACTATTCCTTTGCCCATTTTTTTTACATTCAATGTAAATGTTGAAACATTTTGCACTCTCAGTGTGTCTCATGCGTTTTATAAAAGCCTCCTGTAAGCAATGAAGAGTGAAAATTGAACACAATTACGGAAGTTGTGGCTGTATTTTTCACTAGTCTTTGTTAGACGCGTTGTTCTTACATTTAATATTTTCGTCTACAAGCTTACGCAAATCACCGAGACAGTAAGGATTTAGTTCACCACAACATTGTTTCAACGGCGAAGCTCTTTTAGCTAGCCGTAGTTTGTTTCTGTGGCTTATCAGAAGAATATCACCATGGTAAACGGACAAAAACGGAAGAAAACTTTGTTTCTGCAAGAGACAGCGTTTCCCCTAAAGAACAGTGCAACTCCGCGCGGCCGGGCTTCCATTCTAAGGCACCGCTGGCTCTCACCACCCATGCAGATAGTTGCAATGTGGGCTTTCAGCCCTCGTGACTTGCATCAGCTGGCCTCGAGGGCAGGGATATTGGCCTCGAAAATTACGCAAGTCCAACTTCTCACCACTGGTTCACTAAAAATGAGAAGTCAACAGCTGGCGCAACAATTGGTTGCGGGGCGACGACGGCGAGCCGAAGACCGCGAGTACATAAAACAAAATAATACTAGAAAACTGTAAAGGCAGCGGCGACTGCAAGAGCACCCCGAAGTGGCGTTAGGCGTACGCCAACGACCGCACATCCGTAGCATCCGTGGCAATATATATTGTGCACGTGACTCACTGGGACTCTGTCTCCACAAACGTTTGCTGAGCCGGACTGACTCGGACACGGTACTCATAAAAGTATTACTCACCCAGACTCACTCAGACTCAAACGCACGGCTCAATCCGAGTGTTTGGTTTTGGGACGTTAAACCCCACATATGTCCTAGGTCTGACCTATGTCCCTATAGACCTATTAGAGCTGCGAACAAACAGTTTCAGTGCGAGTTTCTGGTGTTAGAGTTTAGCCATCCATGCCGTGTCTGTGACTGTCTGTAACATGTTTAACTCGAAACTCTTAACGCTTAGAATCAATGCGCAAACAATCTAGAATGACCTAGACAAAGCCTAGCAACAGCCTAGAATCAACCTAGAAACGACTCAATCAGTCGTCTTTATCTTTCGATATCACTTTTTCAAGCCTTGCTCATCTTAGCCGAATGTTCACCACTTGTTTTAGAATGGAGCTGTATGTGACTATAGTATCCCACAATGCCTACGTGCATTGAGAAAAATATAATATTCAACTAGACACCTTCTCTGGCGTTTCGCAGAACGCTCACATTGAATTACCGTTGCGCTATTCCCTTCACCACGTCAATTCAAGACGTAATTTTTTTTTCCTTCAATTGTACATCTGGTTCTTACAAACGAATATCAGCGGTAGACTTGAAATCGCGGAGCAGAGTCTTTTAGTAGGCTACAAAAATAAGGTACAAAAATGTGATGCAGTATAGCCGTACCGCCCTTCTTTTTTTTTTCTTTTTGTTCGCTGTGCTTATGCAGCACCTATATTTCCAATGAAGGTGCCTGAACATCAGAAATATTTTTTTCAATATCTCTACCGGGTTCTCACGCCTCATAGTGTACTATCAGCCTAAGTATTTTTAACAAAAAACGTGTCGTTCGAGGAACTCAGTGTCACTCAAACTGGTAGTGACTAAAGCACAACGAACGAGAAAGGGAGAGTGTTCTGGAAGTATACTGTACTGAAATTCCATACCGTACTATCTAAAATTGATAAAGGCTAATGACAGCGATCTCACTTGCGGTGTACCACACTACAGTGTGACGTTTGGGGGCAATGCTGCGGCCTGCTTATTTTTATTGCGATTTGAATGATATATAGACAACCTGTGCAAGTACTTCCGGCAGCGCCGACACCGTGAGGTTCCGCATTAAGTGCAGGAGCGTAATATCGCCTAGCGTGTCATGGTTTTTGTGCGAGTGAAAAGGTCCGAGGGCAGTCGATGAATAGCGTTTCAAGCAGGAAAATAAGCTCGTCGGCGGTTGTCCTTCAAGCGTAAGAAAAGCCCCGCAAAAGGAGGGGGAGTGGGGGGGGGGGGGGTCATGTTAAATTTCAAGCTGCTAGAGCTCATTAACGACCCCAAAATTATCGGTATAACTCGTACTGTAACTGAAGAATTTAAAAATAAACATTGTTTGCTACTTGCACTGGCCTTTCATTGTCCGCGTCTGCACAATACCAGACGTAGAATAGAAAATAGTATTTTCCAAGTGCGGGAAGTAGCATGCGTCGCGCTGGAACGATATGAATGCGAGTTTACTAACTTACCACTGCGCAGGAAGGAGTGGCAAAATTTCATTTTCTGCACTTTTTTTGTTTTGATACTGTGTCACTTCTTTTGCGATATAACTCACATTTGTAATCTTAAGAGAAGTAGCATTCGATAAGCTTTTTACGCATTGCATGACATAGTATTACTAAAAGCACCTCTGTCAAGCTCTTGCAAGTCACGAAAATGGGTCAGTTAAGCGTCGTTACAAAAATAACACCGGGATAAGTGCTAGATATAGAGTGTACCCTACAATCTTCTTTTTATCAGAAACCTCTTATAACAATCAAAACATGTAACAATCAATGTAATAATATTATGTGTACTTTAACATCCCGAAACTACCATACGGTTATCAGAGACTCCGTAGTGGAGGGCTCCAGAAATTCTGACCACCAGGGTTTTTTTATCGTGCACCCAAACCTGAGCACACGGGCCTACAGCATTTTCGCCTCCATAGAATATGGAGCTGCCACAGCCGGGATTCGATCCCATGACCTGCGGTTCAGCAGCCGAGAACGTTAGCCACTACACCACCGCGGCAGGGCAACACTATCACATTAAAGCTAAGGGAAAGCAAAGAAGGCTTTCCAGCTTCGCACGTCTTTCATATTTGGCACCATCAGTCCGAAGCTACCCATAAGCTCTGCTGTCTATTTAACATTGCACCGTTCATTGCAAGATAAGCATTTTTTTCATTTATCCTCTTGCTGGAATAAAGAAAAAAAGCATGCTTTCCTCGGAGGTATATTGCTAATAATTGTGTGGCTGCTATGCTTGGGTCCAAGTAACTGTCTTTTTTTTTTGCGAAATGAACGGGCACATGAGGAGATTTCTAAATTTATAATTCACCGAAACCGTCTATTTATATTGGCGTTCCATTGTGGAGAGAGAATTCATTAAGAAATATAGAAAGCAAGGCCTATTCTTGTTTCTACTACTTTTATTTTGTGTCATGTCTCCTATTTTTCACCTACGTCACATCTTTCCCGTGTCTACAACGCAAATACTATTTGTTTTTCTAAAAATAAAAAGAAAGAACCCTTGAAAACATTTGCTTGAGTTTGCCAATTCATAATTAAAGTAATAAAAGTAGCGTCAGCCCGAACAACACGACAAATGTGATCAGAGTAGTACTAATTGTACGTCGTGCTAATATTATGAGGTAATTGCCTAAAGAGAGGACTTAGACCACGAAGTGACCAATCAAATTCCCAGCATATTTTGTTTTCCTTAAATGAGTATACAGAAGTTCACTACTCTGCGTGTGAATTCAAGTAACCCAGTAAATACCCCCAAAGTTGTGTCAGCCTCGCTTAGATACACAGGAAAGGTTACACTCAGCGCAAGCCAATACATGTACAAAGATGAAAAAAAAATAATTGTCGTGGTACCCTGAAAGAGGGTGCCAATGGTAACGCAAAACGATGACAAACTCTCCGGGATAAACAGATGTTCCAAAAACTGTGCAAATAGGTGAAAAGAAATCACGGCTGATACGTCAGGCAAATAACCATCTGCAACCGATGTTTATTCATTCGGAAGTGACTGCAACCACAGTTTTGTGTCGCTTACAAAATAATTAAAGACCGATAACAAATGAAATGTTCTCTGGCGAAAACAAAAAAGAGAGAAAAAAAAGAAAACAGCATCTCCGTCCAGGGAAGTAGTAGCACAGTTTGTATGCTTGGACTTGGGGCTTTGGTATTTTGCTTGTTTTGTTGTTGTTTATTTCTTTTTTTTTCATCCTTTGCCGCACCAGGTGCTTCGATGTGGTCGACTTCCCTGTCGTGATCGTTGGTGGTGGTGTTGCTTATTCCTCGTTCTCCTTCTTTGAACCGAGGGCCCATTCTGGCTTCTTGTCCTAATAAAAACATAGCGATTGAATTAACGTTTTCATTTTATTAGAGTAATCACCCAATCAAGCCCAGGAAATACAAGCGTGCAAAATCAATTTAGCCTCGCCGTAAGTTTGATCGCTTAAAAACTTTACGTTAAGAAAGGGAAGGAAGACAACCACCTGATGGTTGTCTTCTTTCTATCTTTTCAACCCTTCTGCCACCTCGCAGGTTTTCGCAGAACTCATTTAAAAAACTGTACGTGTTATACCAAGAGCTGTATGAAACGCCGTTTATACAGGTGAGCCGCTCGATCCATGCGCCCGTCACTGCATAGGCACACGGTTTTATTGCACAGTGAACGCAAATGCACTCGCGTTTCTTGGTTGCAGTAAGCCTCATTGCATCCGTCGCATAGAGACAAATGAGTTCTCATGTTTTCTTTTCGGCATCCCTCTTTAGCGAATTTCAAAAGCAGTTAGGATATAAGAGTATCGCTTTGCAACACGGCAGCCTGTTATTGTTATCCAGTTCAACAACGCAATCGGCAAATGTTCACCCAACAAAAAAAGCAGTGTTATGACGTGAGCTCCATTAGGTGCGTGTGAGAAAACAAAGCATTTGTGAACTGAATGAACAGCCACTTACGAAAAGCACAAGCCACAACTGCGTAACAAACCTCTGTAGAGCAGCAGTGGTACAAAAGTGCGCTGATTTTACTACCAGTTTGCATCGTAGTTAAGCACTTGCACTTCAGTTCGCGCCTGCCGCTGCCGTATCAGTATCGATAAGCGCACGTGCTCAGGCATGTTGTCATTCACAATCACACGCCGCATTTTCTTTAGTTGAGACGTTACAACAAAGTCACAAAAACGTAATGCGAACAATCTTATAAATCGATAAAAGCTTGAACTTGAATCAGGAATAACGTTGCTGTTATTGGCCTGGTGAACTTGAATCCTCGTAACTGCCTACTTCGTCGATAAGATAAAACACTAGGTTATCCTTTCAGTTGAGATAGCCTCAGACTTGTGCTGAAATTCACACGAGAATTGCATTTAGCCATGACGCAAAACAAATCACGCGTTAGGTCGTGCTAATAAAAACGACGTTGTGAAATCTTCTTTATTGCGCAGTATGGTATAATGCCTAGTTCAGAGCTATACAAATTTTAATTTACGTTGCTAAATCAATTAGGCGTCATGCGAGGGCACTTCTAACTGGAACGAGCTACACAGCGTATATTCTGTTGCCGCTATCAAATCAAGTCTTTTTAAAGCAGATAATCATCTCACCTATGTTGACGTTTTCACACTGCGGGTTCAAGGAAATGTTCCCATTCCGGTGTAGGGGATAGATACAGGGTGATTGTTTTTTTTAATGTGATGCGTGTTGGGTAATTTCTCAGTTTATGCATTAATGTGGCAGGGAGATTATCACTCAACAAAAGTGTTGTTATTTCTTAAAATAGGTTTGCTATGGTTTACAAAATAGATGAACTCGAGAACAAAATGTGGAGACAAGTAAGCCACAAAAAATGCAGGAAAAAAGTGGCCTTTGACCACTGACTTGAAACTAAGTACAGCGCTGCGGTTTCAAAATCTCAAGCGTGTTTCTCAAAATTCTTCGACAGATCACAAAAGTTGCAACGGGACTTTATCAAAAACACACGGTAGCCGTATGATTAGTGCTGCGTCAGTGTATGCAGGAAAACGTTGTTAGCAAGCAGAAGCGGTCAATCACAGCAACGTCACAAAATGTGTCAACTGTGAAGACTGAGAAACTTGAGCCCGTCGCTGTGGCATCAAACGTGAAGAGATTTTTTTGTCTTTTCGCGAAAAACAGTGAAAGAAAAAAAAGGAACAGCATCGGTTAGAACTTCGAAATTTCAGCATGTTATTTCTTTTTTATCAACCGATGGCAGCAAGGGCACAGTATGTGCCCGAAAACACAAAAAATGGCAGTACAAAACTCTAGCTTTAAAGCTCTGGAATAGGAATCACTGTCCCTTTCAAAAACGTTGCATAGTTCTCAAAATGCAACAACATCCTCAGAAATCCTTCAAGTCCTTCAAGAAGGGCAAAAAAATTTTGGCAATTGTCGAAAGGGAGAAATAGTGCCAAGAAGAGATTTGGGGCGTAAGTTTAAGAAAAAGTAAGGTTTGAAAATTTTATTTGGGGAGCGTAAATTAAACTTCTGTCCTTAACTCAACATGGGTTGGCCACTTCTATTGGTATGAGAAATCATTGTCAATTTCGAGAAGCGTGGAAGCATTGTCAATCGTATCATATTTCTTTGTGATTATTGATAGGTACAGCTCAAAGGCAAGCTCATAAAATTTGTGCATAAAAGCAAGTCATCACTATCGTTCTTAGGCCATTCGAAACAGTTAATTTAGTAGGAAGGCCCATAGTCTTTGTAGTGGGCATCAATTAGTCAGGCTGATAACGACAAATATTGTTCCCCCCCTGTTAACACTCTTCTCAAAGTTCAATCGTTACACGCCAGGATGTGAAATGAGTTTTTTTTTTCAGTAATTTACATTGCTTAAGGTAGAACGAAAGTGCCTGCAGGCGACCAAGATAACTGCATTTAGCAAATGATTACTTCGAATGAGTCAGCCAACCCATGCCGAGCCTCGTGGTGTGTTAGAGTACAATTTTGGGCAAAGTAAGGCTTTTATTTAGGATCTAGAGAGTTAACAATGTGGGACAGTGTTCAAATTTCAGAACCTCTACTTCGCGGCCCATTCCGGCACGTCCTTCTTGACCTGGAGACAAAAAGACAACAGCTTAATCTGTAGTGGCGACATTGAACACAAGCTCGGTAAAGCATACATGTTATGTACAATAAAGTCAAAACACACACAAAAAATTAATTTCAATGTACACTGCCCCCTTCAAAGCGTCTATTTCACCGTTTAACGATCATAAACAGATGTGCGCCTACTTGCGAATGCTATGCCTACACATTCTTAAAAGGTTTCTAAGAATCTGCCATATACAGCTTATCAGAGTTGTTGCAAATTCTACGCATAAATTTCTCTCAACATGAACACTTGTGACCAGTACTATAAATAGCAAAAGGCTGAGTTCGAATTTGTGCTACAGCTGAAAAGTAATGAGCAACCTATGCAAAAGCAGAGTTTTGTTTAGCGTACACTTTTTCTTTCTTTCTTGTTCAGAACAAACATGTGCACTAGCTGTAGAGGTGTACTTGAAATGTTTACTTTAATTTTAACCAAACTATGACACGTATATCACTGCCCGAAGTTACAAACAGATCCAGAGCATAGAAAAGGGGAGAGAGAAACAAAAGAAGGTAAACGTAGAGATAATGACTATTGTAATACAAACATTTTGCTTCCTTACACTAGAGGGCAATGAAAAGGATCACAAGGGCCATGAAAAAAAGATAAATAGGATGAACAGAACGTATGCTGACAATTCCTGCACAGGAGGGCACCCAACTTTTGATTTTATATAGTAAATTATGAATAGTGATATACAGCGCAATCTTGAATGGTGGCTACGGGAGCTCGAAATATTCCGAAGCTCTCCCCTACAGCGTATATCATAATCGTACGGTAACTTTGGGACGTTAAAGCCATAGTAATTATTAGTAATATTATTATTGGATGGCGGCTACAAAAATAGTTCATGCAGACGGCGTATTTCAGCGACATATAAGTAGTAATACTTTGCTAAAATGGGTTACTGAAACCGACATAAATCAGCCAATACGCTAAACTGTTAGGTAACTAAGTGTTCATTCGCACTCACTCACTCAAGAACTTTAAGGTGTCAAACCACTCTTTACGTGCGTACATAACGCGTACATAACGCTTCGCGTGCGTACAGCCGTCAGCACCTTTAACGCGAACGCTCCGCCACGTGTCCTGCAGCAGTTTGACTGACGCTGACACCAAGTACGTTGTTTGGGTTCGGTTGCCAAGATGCCAACCATACATGCCGACATACTATCCAAGCCTACCGAGGTATCACCTCGGCAAAAGCACCCAGCACTTCGTGGCTCGCGTCAATCAAACTAGCCCTGGCCACACATCAAAGTGTTCGCATTTAAGGTGCTGACGGCTTACAGACCGTCATCTGTGTTTCTGTCAACAGCCCCTTCCGTTCGTATGTTTATATTCGCAATGAGGAAGTTCTAAAATTTAATCAGAGAAAGTTTCTTTCTTTTATAAGAGCACAGGCTAGTGTCAGCCAGTACACGTTATTGCACTTTCTTTAGGGCACCTACTGACAACTCTTTTGGTGCATTAAGTGCCTTTAAAGCTTCGTGCTTACCGCCTGCTTCTCCTCGTCGAGCTTGAAGGCGTCCTTCTTGACTGCCTTGAGGTTCGACCTGAAGTCAACCTCCGAGGTACTCTTGGCGACCATTTTGAGCTTGTCGAACCTGGTTAAAAACGCAAAGGTTATGACATGTTGCCACTTTTTTATTTCCTCGGTACACAATTATTTCCAGATCAAAACGAAGGCTAGTCATCTTTTCTAGGAGTTAGTTCTGATGCTTTTCGCTCTTAACATGCCCCTCTTCCATCGCTAGATAATTTTTTATTCACAATTATGAGCACGATTGTCAAAACAGTGATCAGTCATTATAATGTCCCTTGTCCTGCTATAGGGAGCAACTATGCAGATAAAATATAAACTGTGTCCTAAAAACACATTATTAAGTCGTTTACACTGGATGCCTTTGTAGATTTTCACAATACACTTTAATATATCTGAATGCATCGCCACAGAACATGACGTGTTGCTTTTCACACAATACTATCGAAGTGTAATTGCAAAGCGGTGCTTTGTCATAAGCGATTCACGCATGAACACATCAACTTACTTGGAAACTTTCTTGAGGGCTGGCTTGACGCTGAAACGAGACATAGAACGTGGTGTTACAAACGTGACCCCAGAATAATTACAGCGGTAAAACTATAATATATATATATATATATATATATATATATATATATATATATATATATATATATATATATATATATATTATTTCTCACAGAAGCAACGATACTTACAACTTCCCGCGAAGATCGTTCACCTGGATGGTCAGCTCGTTGATCTGAAATGATCCCGCAAGAAGATTATAAATTATTAAAAATCTATCCGATCAAAAAATCTGGCCTCAGTTAGGATTTCTGTAATAAATTTATGATGCAACGCTCGCTGTTTTTGAACGCTGTGCATGACCCGTTCATTTGTGATAAGTTGAAGAAATAATAGGAACGTTAGGAAAATGCAATGTTCCGAATAAATCCCTCCAGTGGTAATATTAAGCTTTGCGATTCAGCGTGTGAAATGTGCGCTGTGATCTGCTCTCTTACTCAAGCATTTTTTTTTACAATTCTATACAATCAACGGGTCTACCCCAACAATCACCATTTACACTTGCTTAAACGTTGCAGCAGCTGTTTGTGTTTAGAGCTACTAAATCAGACCTCTTTTTTTGTGATTAGTTATTTCAATCAAAATTTGTAAAATATTTCACGTTAGCAAAACTCGCCTCATTAGGGGCTACGGGAAGCAGCCTGCAAAATTACCTAATCAACAAGTGCTTTAAAAAAGCCTTGTTACGTTTCCGATCACGATAAACGAATCATAGTAACAGCAATGTACTCATAAACATTGGTGTCAAGAATCAATCATGACGTCGATGATAGTCGTTTACTGTTTTGTTCAAAGTTTTACCTGACCTTTGTTTCTCAAGTTCCTGAGATAGCTCTTAGAATGGTTCTGTAGAAATAAATACACTTTAGATCAAGTTGGCGATTAGCTAGTCCTCTCGAAACTGTATAACTGTGCACTGGCTCTAGCTGATATGAAACAGCCATAGCCTTATTCTTATATGGCAGTTATGTGACAGTGATAACGTAAAGAACGATACCATAGTATATATGCTACGGCTTCAGAGATTAGTCGGTGACAAGGCCGTGTCACATTGTATTGGAGGGACACAGATACAGAAGTTTGTCGGGGTAGCTGGGGATATCGTGATTGGAAGAATTACTCATTGAAAAGATGCATGCCAGAAAAGTGCGAAATAAAGGGTATAGAGAGCGTCACAGCTGCAACATTTCTTGCTGATAACTTCTCAAAAGAGCGATAGGAACACTGTTTGTTGCGATAAAACTGAGTATTTTGCGGGAAACGTTGACAATATATTTTTTTTCTGCATATAACATTCTCTTATTTTTTCTCAAACAAGTTGACACTGTTTAAATATTATTGAGATAGCTCCCTGAAAGATATGAATAAAAGAATGGCACAGTTTTCATGCACTCGCGAAGCTAGACTGTCAGCATGTCACCGACCATTGTCTATTTGGGTCGGCATATATTGTTGTAATAACACTGTCATTTCATGTCGTATTGTATATATCGACTCAGTGAAGTTTGCTTCATTCTCAGCTGCTTTAAAACTTGTCTCAAAAAAGCATGCCCGCAAGAGTTGGAAGACATTCAGCTTACAGTCTAGCTTCAACGAAGGGAACGAAAGAGAAAAGGAAGGAGATCAGTGTATGGCTGTGTAAAGGGGAATCTGCGTTCGTAATGGGACATTGGGGACATTCTTTTTTTTTCTTTTGCTCTTGGGTGGCGACGAGGGGGCACAGGCGATGTCATGTCACTGACCTCGTAGTCTTTCTGCCTGACCAAGTACTCAGTGTCGTACTTTTCGCTTTCCAGCTTGCACAATCGCTCGTAGTATTCTTTGCAGATGGCCTGTAGTGTCGCTGTAGTACGGTCGCAGCAGTGTGAAAGTAGCCAAAGCAAAAAAAAAAAAAGGCACTCGGTTAGCTTGTCGAGCAAGAGCCAAATTAACTTTGCCGCGCTTCCGGTCAGCAACATTTAGTTTTTCTGCCGATAATACACGAAGCACCCAGTGATAGCAACCATGTTTAAAGCTTTATTTCATAGACTACGTTATCTCAGATATTGTACCAACATCATGAATATAAACAGCTGACAGGAAACGAAGCGAAGCGGCGGATTAGACTACAAGCAGCTTTGGTGAATTCAGCAACATGTTATCAAATGTCACCATAATGCTCAGATCAGAAACGTTCGCACCTGCGTTTGCCCGTTAACAGCACCAAAATTTTCTTTTTATCTCCAAGCTCATTTAAACTTTTCCGTGTGCCTTTAATACCTTGTGTCTTTAAGATCAGTGTTTTTTCTACCGTTGTGAATTTTTGTAGTTACACAGAAATATAGGAAAGCAACACGACAAAAGTGTAGACTTTTGATTCTATATGGCAGACGTTTCGTTACTGAGCACTAAAGTGACTGCAAAGCCGCATGTCATAGTAAGAGTCAACAAACTTCATTGTTAACAGGCAAACATTAGCGTTGTTGCCATCGTTGATCAGTTGCGTATCATAAGCTGACGATGACCTGAAACGAAAGCGTAGTTATTGAATATTTCGTTCTGTGCCACTGCAAAAAAAAAGTTATTAGCCACACAACTCACTCAAGCCGGACATCTGCCATATGTTAACGCTTCAAATTCTGCATCGTTATCACAAGCCAAATGTTTGCAACCTCGCAGCCGAAGGCATCAGTTGCAGCACGAGCACACTCCAGCGCTTCTTACAGCATGCGAGAAAGAAAAAAAATTGAAGCTTCACACAGTTACGCATCGTTTACGCGAAAAATTATTGCATTCGAATCATTTCAAGCGTCAAAAGGTGCCACGCTTTTTTGTAAGGCACGCAGGTATAGTCACACTTTTCGAAGAAAAAATTACTCATAGGCTTGCAAGTGCCTTTGTTCATCCAAGAGATTTTCGGCAATAAAGCCCAGGCAGTCAAGTTTCTCTCAAGCTTCACACAGTTAAACGCTCAGCGTTATAAACCATTCTCGCCAGGCTAAATGCTTTGAATGATGTTTCGCTTAGGCCCATAGGCCCGACAGTACGAGATTGTTTCAATTATTCTTTCCCGAACCGTTTACTCAGTTCATTGTTTCCACCTATACGTAAGTTGTCATTATCACCAAGCACAGCTGCGCTTACGTGAACGTGTGCTATTCGGCTAACCGTATTAAGAAATGTAGAGGTGTTCTGATACCGAACTGGAATCCACAATCTAAATTTAGCGCGGCATTGTTATTAACTACGCCTTATATTCCGAAAGTATGCTCTATAGACATGTACTTTACCTCAGTGAGCAAGCGTATGCAAAGAGGCCGTGTTTCGAAATAAAATTCATCCAGTGACTGAGTACGTAACTGGAAGCATACGAGTGCAGTCCACATAAGATGGCATATGCGCCATGTTGAAGGGTAATTCAGTATTGTGTTTTCGAAGCAGCCAGTTTTTTTGTACTTCTGCTCACGATACCTTCGTGCCTTTTGCGTAAAGCGCCATCTAACGGGAAGCTGTAAATTTGAGAGGGGCAAGGGGAAGGCCGTGTTGTCCAATGGGGCCGCGCAGCGTTGGTTGTGTTGTTGTTGTGTGGGCGTCACGGCGACGCCGACGACGCATCGAGCCGACTTGAATGGATTGCCCGTACCACGAAGTCCTTCTGCCTGACTTCGTACTCCAGGTCGTACTTGGCGTCCTCTAGCGCTGCTATCCGGGCGTGGTACTGCTTGAGGATTCCCTGAAGGGTTGCTGAGATACGTGAGAGCAAGAGACACAGGGTTATCAGCGATTCCAAGCATCTCCAAGAATGTGTTGGTGTCAATGCTGCGCTTGTGCCAATTAATTTGCGTGTTCAGATTGAGCGCTTTTATTTCTTCCAAATATGCGCACCAGCATCAATGTCTTCGGTGTAACACGGTTCTGCGAACAGAAAGCATGTGGACCAAACATTCAAAAAAAATAAGCTTCTATGGCTTGAAGAGTTTAATATGATGTTATTGTAGAGCCTTTTCGTGTTTCTATTAATTCTAGTGTTGTTATCTCCGGCCTAACCATTCTAATTTTTTTGCTGAACTAAATCAGTAATCAAGTCCTGTATTTATGGTCAGCATGTTGATTCAGTAACATAGTGAATTTATGAGAATAATCGGCATAACACGTAAGGTTTATATAATCTAAAGACTGCATCGCAATGACACGCAAACGCGCGTCTTGTACTTTTAACCTCTGGAAAACAACGTGGGCAAGAATATCGAGCCCTATTCGCTGCAGGTTTCCGGGTGTAATCAACACCAGCACAACAACCAATGTGTTCACCGTAAAAGAGCACTAGTATGCTTTTGTCTAATGGGATGCATTAAGAGAAGGTATCAAGTAACTACAGACCTTCGTTGGCGCCGTCCAGGGGCTTGGGCTGGCCAACACGCTCCGCGATGATCTTCCTGCGCTGTTCGGCTTTGCGCTCCTGCTCCTTCTTCAGCTCCTCGGCGGCTTTTTTCCTTAGAAGATTCTGCGCACGTAACAGTGGAAGAAAGCATTCGTTGGGTCGTTCACACTAACTTCAGAGACTGTGTTTCAGACACATTATGTGTGGGGCCGCACTCAATGAACGTTGTTACCATTCCAATTTTCATAACTGGAAAACTGTAGTGAAGCCACCGGGAAATTTCAAATACTTGTATTTACGTGTATTCTCGTTTGTCTGGTGTACATATTCGTGTGTGTTGCGCGCATGTTTGATGTTACTCACAGTCAGACGAACTCACTTGGACGAGTCTGTGTGTGTTTCGTGTGTCACGTCGCTGGTCTGCTACATCGCTCATTCCGGAACTTGTCGTAGTTCACACAGGTATTCCACTCGCATTTAGGCAGAATGAGCAGCACAATCCTTTATATACAACTACCATGCCCAGTCTAACCATTTATGCTCAATCAGGAGTGCAACCACCGCGCCACCAAATGAATATGAAATGAACCACTTCTCTTGCCCCCACCCCTCCCCCGAAAACCTCCTCCCATTATGAAGGTTCATTTACTTCACTGCATACTATGGAGACCGATATACCCAGAGGCTCTTTATCAGGAGAAGTTTTTTTTTACTTACCCTCAGCTTCTTCTTGCGTTCCGGTGTCATGAAGCCGCGCTTTCCGCCAGCCTTCTTTGCCTTCGCCGCCTCCTCAAGACGTTTGCGCACCTCGGCCTTTTTCCTCTCCTTCTCCTCCATCTTCCTCTTCTCCTCCTGTGACCCCATCGTAGTGTGCATAAACAAACGTGTTAATACCACAAGTTGTAACACGTCTATTAAAATAAACATGCAAATTTCAATAAATATTCCTCTTCTAATTGATAAGCTGTCAACACATTTTACCATTTACCTCACCTGTCAGCCCTCCTTTCCTATATGAAACTCGTTTCTTCACTAAAGTTCGGCTAGGCCACGTAGCCAAACTACAACATACAAATGCGAAAGTACACTTACGTTCATTCTATACATGACACATCTTGTAAAGAGATAACAGGAGTAAATTTGCCGGCGCTAATCAAGAGGGTTACTCAGCGCTTCTACTGCCCCACTGGTTCACTATAGCAGTACTTTATGATGTTATTCGACGAAGCATAAGCTGTAGTTCGTGGAAAAAATTATATATTATGCTTGTTAGCACTTTCAGAGCATGGCACACAGCGTCGCGTGCACTAATTTTTTCTGTAAAATACGACATGTAGTGACATTATTAAGTACAGCGAAAAACTTTACAGAGGCTGCCTCAACAACTGCTAGAAAAAGCAATAAATTATATCAGCATGATTAGCAATACTTTCATAAGACCCAACAAAGAAGGATCGATCCGCCGGTCATTGTCTAAAAACAAGCACGGCGTCACAAATACTTTATGCGCTTGCCAACCAGCAGTAATTTGAGCCACACCAGCTTGCGAAAGCACCCGCAAGTGCTAACGCGCTAACCGTCCGCGCATAAAGTATTAAGCGGCAAAAGCAGCAAATGAAAAGAGCATTGAAAATGCAAAGAGAATCTTCTAGTTAGACATACTTCAGAAAAAACAAAGATGATGTAGGACGTTACCTTGGTTTGCAGCAAACGGAAAAGGAAAGCGAAGATTGCACATGCGTCTTCAAAAAAGAAAAAAAAAGCTGTATTGCAGCATGCGAACTTCACCTTGGCTGACGAAGTGGTTAGCAAAGAGCAGCAGCAAATGCACAGCCTAGTCTCAAAGCACCGTATCGATTTCCTCGTCCCTCTGTTCTCAGTAAATTCGTCAGAACACACCATGAATCACAACACACTAACACGTCTACGAAATGGATCTACCTTAAATAGTACGGGGCTCTGAGAGCATAATAAGAAATCGGCAGACGCTTGATTTATTTCAGTTGAAAATTATTTTGACTAAAATGACGCATTATGAGGCACCGTAATTATGCGCAATCTGCTGAATAATGCTACGTTTCATGACGCCCTAATTTGTAGAATTAGTTTCATTTCTCGTCAGAGTTACAGCAGTCAATCTCGGCAAATGAAAGTTCGGCTATGTTACATGTTTTAGGCAGTATTGTTAACGTAACGCCTGATATGTTTTTTTTTCTCGAACTTTAATACTAAACATTCGAGAAATCTCAGCTCCCAGAATGTCGCCCCTTAGGTATTCACACTTTTTGCACATAACAGAGCCCGAGTTCTATTGATTGAGTTGCATAACAGTTCAGTCTAACATCCTGCTTAGGCAACAACTTTATCGTTAGGACTAAAATTTCTTTGTCGTATTGACAGTGTGTTAAGTTTCTGCCGACAGAAGCCTTTCTTGGAGCAACGAGATTAGATTTGCTCTTGTGGTAGCTGTATATACCACGCTTGAGAAATTTCTGTCGCTACAATGAAACATACTGAACGTACGAAAAACAATTTAGGGCTTCATTCCCACAGTTCGTTAACTGTTAATTCAAGTAAACTTCAGTTGCTCGAATGATACGATCCGCTTAAGCAATCTTTGGCGGCAGTGATCCTAGCGTTCTGACTTCCGCGAACTGTCGCTAACATTTCATGGAACAGTATATTTGCATTTCTGCTCCCGCAAAATAAGTTCATCCAGTGGCAACGTACTTCCTTGAGTCGCCTGTGGGCGTCCTCGGCGTCCTTCCTCCTGCGATCGGCGTCGGTCTAACACATGAAACACAAATATATTAGTCACAGACAAACACTGCGGCATGTGCCGGAGCTGAAACTACGACTACTGCTACGCTCCGCACAGCCACGTGTGATCGCCGGCCGGCAAACACAACGCCAGGGCCGGGGTAGGTTATTCACATAGCAACAAAGGATCACTACTTGGAATTCCTGGCATATCTAAATACTATGTCGGTATTACACGTATGCCAGAGAAGAAACAGAGGAACTTTTGCTGGGAGGGCTTAAAGAAGGCGAAGAGGGAATTGTAATGAGAGGTGAAACGGGATGCATCATTAAAAATAAAAACAAGAGGAAAGAATACTCTGTAAATGGTCGCCATTCCTGGTGACATTAAGGAGATGACTCGTATATGGTCTACTTATCATCTCTGTCCTTCAGTGGGGAGAGGAGGGGGGCGTAGCGTAGAGCGTTTGCCCTTAATTTGCGGGGAGAATTTGCTCGAAACAAAATCAAGCCACTAAAGAAATTCTCGCATCAAGGAGCATCCTCATTTGTACTTTAGTTTGCTCCTTTTTCCCAGCTTGGCCTACACGCTTCTTACTGCGCGTTACGTACGCTCTGCTACCTGACCTGATGAAGGTCTCACGTTACACTGCAATCAAATGCCAATATATTAAACGGTAGACATTTATTCTTGTTCTGAATGCTAGTATATTACTCTGCGCATGCACGTTAACAGCATTAAACACTCCTCTTCAGACATTTTGCTCAAAAAGCCATTGATTCTAGTTAAAGAAACAAGAATACAAGTTTCTTAAATGATATGATACATCAATTTTACGTAGTAACAGTGGGCGGATATAAGCGCCGAAAAAAGGATAAACATTATATTGGGGTGACTAGCATGCACACCGGCTTTTGACAGAATGCTTAGGAGGCAGTGCGTGTCTGTATCACATAAGCTATGACGGCTCTTCTTATACGTCTTCGTATAAATGTCTTCGTATTTCGCTTCGCTGATTTCGCTACGGAAGTTTTTTCTTTTTCTCGTGTGCATATTTATGCAGAAAGAAAAGCTTAAATTTCTTATGTATTTGTCGTTCAGCCACACACAACCTTCAAATTTTCCACGAGCATGCTTTTCAAACTTTGAAGAACATTGCTAAATGTTCAAGCTTGTCAGTGTTATTTTATGGCCTGCAAAATATGCTTCAATCAGAAAAAAAATGCTATATAAACCAGCTCATAAACTAACATCGTCGCCTACAGCACTTTTACTTCGTCCGCTCTCTGTCAGAACATCTGCGTGATATTCATATTAACGGGCCTACCGTATTAGTCTAGTTACATTTTCCAGTATTATGCACAATTTATGACGCCGAAAGGTTAATTTAAAGAGACACTTTGGGAATTAACCGTGTTCTTCTGATTTCTAGTTGCGACTGCCGGCAACCTAAATTTTTTAAGTGGCTTGTGCCAAGGTTTCTGAACGTTTTATAACCTTGAGTGTACGCACGGAAAAGTGTGCAAGGTGCTATAATACAAGACACACTATAATCACTACTCTACGCACACGGCTACTTCACAAAGGAGTGAGGAGGAATCTAGTGCACCTATTGAAATGAACTCACGTGAGTGGTGACGTCAGCGTTGACGGTGACCATTCGTTATGCATGCACTTACCTTTATTCTGTGGTGTCTCAAATACTATTTTAACCTGTAAAAGAAAAAAAAACTTTTCTTAGCTAATACCCATAATACTTTCTTATTCATTCATCTGATGAAAAGAAATTTCTTTGTTCTTCAAAAAATTTAAGACATCTTTGAAAAATCCTTCATTATTGATATTTCTAACACTACCATATTTCTGCATAGACCCCTGGTACGGTCAATCATTTCTACTCTCACACCATTTTCTTACACGTGCTCATGTGGGCCATTCCATTGCTTTGATGATATTCTTTTACAAACTATTTATACTAAAGTGGTCTAAATTATACACACCAGGCACAACTACTATTAAAACAGTTAAAGGAATTGTTATTCTCACCTTATAGTGTGAATTCCAGAGCTTTCTTCGTGGCGAGCACCAGAGAGGTTTGTTCTAAAGGAGATCTGCTAACATCTGATCTTACGTCACTTCTCTTACCCTCACGTTTGGTTGTTGGAATTGCTTTACCGTCAAAGGATCTTTCTAAGTACTTAGCTCTATACTCATGTTAGTACGAGCGCACTTCTCGATAATCATGAAGATTCTCTTTATGCCTTCAATTGAAAAAGTCGTTTCGTTTACTGTTGGGGTGCAGAGAATGACGTAAAATGAAATGCAAGCACAAAGGAAGAAAGAAGATAATCAAATTAGCCTATATTATGCACTTTATCGGGAACTTGTGGAAAATATTAAGGGCTTGCTAAGAGCCTGGTTCGTTACTGTGTCACCTTAACGGGCTATCAAACACAGACAACATGCCCGAGAACATAAAACGTTGGGAACTCATGACTAACAAGCTTCGTGTTCAGTCGCCATAAAACTGCAGCATTGCAATGCGTTGTTGTGGTGAGCAATATTAAATTAGCAAACTTGATTTGCGAATTTCGGGGCACTCTTGATTTTCTTTCTGATGCAACCTTAACGTAATTTTCCGTTGACAGAACATATTCTTTACTGAAGGCCCTTGGTATTCTTTCTGCCGGAATGTCATGTGTCAAGGAAGAGATTCTGAAACCTGCAGGGATGGGAACGGCACTGAGTTATATTTATGGCTTTGGCTAGGGGACAATTGCCTAGGCTGTACATTGAGTAGTTAGCATGTTGATTCCGTCTCTGTTATCTATAGGCCTGTTAAATAAAACATCCAGGGAGGTTGCACACTTCTTCAACACGCACTCACCTTACGTCTCCCATGTTGCTAGCCTTGTTTATTTACTGTACTTGAGGAATTCTGCGAAAGAAAAGTTCGCAACGTACTATAATTTACTCACCAGTTCTTAGTAAAAAAAATGGAAGCAAATTAAAAAAAGTGTATTGAGACCATATTTGCACGAACGAGTGGCACGGGCATCCCTCAATTTTCGTAATGGTACTGTTAATTCACAAGGCGGCTGTTTGCTTTTTGTCACAATTTTGCTGTTGTCAAACTGAGCATTGCATCAATATGCGAAAAATATTTTGCCTAATTGCACTGGCCCTATTTGTACATGCTGAGTTATGTGAAACATTCTTGTTTTTGCTACGCTCGGCCAGTTCTATGTCGGTAACATTTTGAAATCTCTTATTCATTTCACTAATTAACTATTATAAAAGGTAGTTCAATCTTTTGTACCAAAACTTTTCAAACAGATGCACTATGAACATAAAGCCCCCTGCAAGGGGATCTGTCATCTGATTATCTATCTATCATAGACAATATTCAGCTCTCTCCCTTCATTTTTTTCAAGCCACTCTACTTTCAGAAAACAGGTAATGGTGTGACTTCGCTTAGGAGTAAGACTGAAACGCTTTTTACCAATATGAACGCTCCGTTGCACTGTATCATGTTTAGAGGTAGTTTCATCTGAACTAAAAGTTCACGTAGGCAGTCCTCTTTTTCCAATTTTCTTTGCAATTAAAAATGAAACAACAGAAAGTTTAGTGATTTGTTATGGATTCATAATGGAAGGAAGGAAGGCATGAACACAAGAGAATAAAAGCCTGGTAACGTAAACCTGTCGTTCAGTTCTTTTCTTCTGCATCTGTGTCAGTACGCCTTAACCTCTTTCACGATGTGTGTGCAATGTTCTTGTGAAAATAATGCGATCTGAGTTTCACAGGCACACAAAAATATGTAGGCCACTGCATAATATTGCAGTTGAATTCTGAAAGATTATTACTTCCAAGTGCTTCTTGTCTCTCACCACCTGCTGTGAAAGAACGACGTGAAAATTTTAGGGCTGGTTTTCTTTGTTTGACACCGCATTATTCACAAGTTAACGAGGCTTCATTGTCTGTTAGTTCGCGTTATTTAACGTCTACTGCCGGTATGTGTGTCATTATTATTGGATGATTGGCTGTCTTCGTTATCGTGATTCATTGATTGGCTATGTGTGTCATAATATTGGCCCATGAGTGAGAATGGCTGCTTCGAGCTCTTTTTCCGAAACGCACTATCAGATTACTCGCCCACTCGCCTGTATAGCGGTGGAAGAACCGTTTACCTAATTGCTTCATCGAAGCTCTGAGTGCCTTTCCTGACATAGCCGCCGCGTCCTCAATTCTAAAAACCACACTTTCTTCAAATTAGGCATTGTTTATTCGTCGCGCTCACCCTTCTGGCGTGCTCTTTTATTCATAATCAGTCATTGTTACGCGTTTCGAAACGTTTTTTCAGCATACGTTCGGTGCCGCGAGTGAGTTTGCGACCGAAGCGCGAGGTTGCGTACCGTCCCGTCTCCTGGCTCCGTGGTCTAAAAATACGACGGCCGCGGCGGGACGGCCGACGAACCGCTCCTCGGAGCGCTCACCACCGTGGCGGCAACTATATATGGTGGCGGACCTCGGGCAAGGCAGGAATGGCTAAGCCTTTGGCTCGGCGTACGGGCACTCCTCGAATGAGCATCGGACGTCGAGTAGGACCGACGCGGTGCTCTCGTACTATTGCGTCACGTCTGTCGCCCGGAATCGTTGCGGAAGTGCGTTAATGTCTCATAGCTTTTGGTCCTGTCCTTTGGGTCGGCAGCCAACGGGTATATTTTGGCTAGACGACCTCACCCTTCCCCTCACTTGGTTTTTTTTTTCTTTTTACATTGACTTGGCAAGTGTCCAGAAACTGCTACCAGTGCATATAATGGAGACAACCAAACGTTTTTATTATCAATGTTCTTGTTCGCACGTCCGATGTTGTAACCAAGTCCTCAAAAGCTTTTTTGGTTCTTAACTCAATGCGCAACATTCTATAAGTTCCAATAATAGAAACTCTGATAATAAAGCGAAGTATTTCTGGTACGTTATGGGAGTGTTGTTCGCGTGTGTGCACGCACGTTATGCGGGGTAACGTGTTTTCTTTAATAGATTTGACAGACAAAGCACTTTCGCGACGGAAGTTAGCACGAATTTTACAAGGTCACTCTTAATCCTAGTAAAGTTGTTTTTTTTTTTTTGTCCCTATGCTACCACGTGTTTAGACGCTGAACATGATACCTTTAGGATTCAGCATATGGTAAACTGGGTTCGAGGGCACACCAAGTTTCACTTTCAATTCCTGGCGAATATAATCTAACCATAACTGAACGGTCACTGTGACAACTCGTACATGTTGCCACTCTCTACACGGACGGCCGCAGCTATTGCGTTGATAAGTGCCAGTTAGAAACATTTATATTGAAAGGTTATCACTCCTCTGCAGTGTGATGATGTCGGATAAAGCAAAAGTATATTTTTATTTAGCATCACGAGCTTTACATTGACATAGCTAAGTGAGAAAGTTAGCTAGTAACTGTTCACAAACATGGCTTCGTATCTAGTTGTAACTGAAACAAACCAAATCTTGGTTAAAAAACTTTAAAGCTGCATAGAAGTATGAACTTTTTTTTATAGAATGAACTTCGCTGTTGCTCAACGTTGACAGAAATCATTGAAGTCACATATGGTCTAGGTACCATCTTTACGCTTGCTTCTACATAAAGTAACAGATCAGTTATTTTCCTGTACGCCATTTTACCTTGATACCGGTCGATCATACTAAACGGCATATTGCTCGCAGATCCTTGAGATCAAGTAATTACATTGCATCTCCAGGGTAAATTACATTTTTGTTCATCAAAAGGCGCCCACTACACGTTACAATGCTCAGACAGCTCGAGTGCGTCTACAGTCTGAAGGAATTAACAATATATAACCGTGAGTTCCATGTTCTACTAAAGTAAAAACGTGACTCACTTCTACAAGCAACAATGATCAAAAAGAAGATTTAAACCTATGTGACTACGTAAAGATTTCACCCCTCAAATGCTCTGACGATACCAGTGTACAGTCATCGTGTGTGCATTACAGAGTCAGATGTTCACAGTTATCAGCCTAACGGCATGAAGCAAGTCAAATCATAATATGCGAAATCACTGTGAGCCTGTGAAAACATACCAATCAGAACGCCCAGCCTTTGAACAATATATGTACATTAAAATTGCAATCACATGTTCTTTGAAAGTAATGACAACCTTACATGGCGGATTTAATCACTCTGCATTGCACATCGTGCACTAATATGCTCAAGGCCAATGACTCTATCTGACCAATCCCGACACGTTCTTTTTCAGAAGGAAACCGTTCTGTAGTATTCCCATGAACGACACTCGTTCACGTGTTCACTGAGTGGCATTGAGCCTTCGTACAAGGTAAGGCGGCGTAAGTGCAATTTTAAAGTAACAACCAATGAATTTTTCCTTGTGAATGCCAACTAAACAAGACAGTATCATGCTAATATTACAGAATTTCTTTTCCGTCCAACCTATCCTGTAGACATTACCACTAGTTTGATTTGGTAGCTTGTCACGAAACAAAACACGTTTTTTAGCCTTGGTGGGGGACACACATTGACATTCTGATACCGCCCACTGACCTTGCATGACTGTCGCTAACATTGTTCAGAAACGATCGAAGTCTACCGCTTAAGTGCGTTTATCTGACTGGCTCTCCGTTGACCGCAAACATAGCCATGTAATCTTAATGCAAGACAAAAAAATCCAATAGACACAATGCACTAGCACGCCGCCATCGAGTGAAAAGTCGTTAGGGGTAGTCTCAACGGGCCTTCCCCGTGGAGATCGGTAATGCTCACGTTAGAGTCGGTTACCGGTAACGCCAAAGTAGAACAATAAACCACGTCGCTTGTAACAGGGGCAGTCCACTGGCACAGCTACGCATGCGCGGGCTCCGTAGTCGTAGAAGATGGGCGCACAAGGTTTACCTGGTGTTACGGGGAGCTTCGGAGGTGCGACGCGACGGATCTCCTCGGATGCGGCGCAACCCTGGGACTAGGCAGACGGAGATCCAAGCCGCTAAGCCCTTGGGAGATCTGCACGGCTCTCGCCGGAAGTCGAGAAACGCAACACCCCGAGAGAGAGAGGCCTGCGCGAGGGTGAGGGGTTGAGGCGAGATCTTCTCCATCCAAGTGCACGGCGCCTTATGTGACGTAGTCGCGCCGGCGGAAGTGACGTTCGACGCAACTTGCTAAACGCCGGGAGAAGTGGACGTGCCCTCTCTACTTGGCGCATGCCACCCGCCTCGCCCGCCGCCGCGCTTTCTGTTGATCCGGCTCCTTCGCTTCTTTTTGTTAGTTTTTTTGCGTGGTTTTTGGCACCCCGTCCAACACTGGGTATGAAACTAAGCGGAAAGTTTTTGGTATTTGCGTGCCTTTTCGAGCATTATGCTAACGGCATCACCCTTTCCATATTTTCGACGCTGCCCCGTGCGTGTATGTGACGTAGGCACACGATGGCGATAAACTCAGCATGCCACCCTCGAAGCGTGTTTGTTCGCCGCATCTCTCTTTTTATGTTAATTTCGCTACTCATTCCGTTCTTGCTTGTTTGAGATTTGAGAGGGGTTTAGCAATAACGAGGCATTCTTCATCTTGGTGCGTGTACTTCTTTTACATTGCGGAATCGTTGGCAATGACCGCGCAGATGAAGCTGCTCGATCGGCTCATGACCAAGACCAGCGCACGCCCATACCACTCTTGATAACGGACGCTGCAAGGCTACTACAATCACTTGCTCGCCGTATATCTCTCCTACAATGGAATACGCAGGGTTTCTCCAACACGCACCTGTATTCGATCGACCCAAACTTGCAACTTCATTTGCCATCCGGGTTCCCACGATGCGCTGAAACTTTACTGTGTCGCATGAGGTTGGGCGTGGCATTTACGAATTCGTACTCTCGTCTCCTTGGAATGGCGAGTACTTCGGCATGCAACATCTGCGCCTGCGAGAAAACGCTTGAGCACATTCTATGTCATTGCCCAGCATACCAGACCGAACGACGTATTATGGAAGCCAAGCTCTGTTAGCTGGATTCACGGCCGCTTACAGAAGAGAAGATCCTGGGACCTTGGCCGACGGCTTCCCATACGCGCAAAGCCACGAAAGCCCTCTTGTACTTTTTAAGGAACACCAAACTTCACGACCGCTTGTGAAATAACTGTGCGAGGCCGTGCTGTGTAGTTTCGAGCTGACTATTTATGCTTCTCTTTCTTATTCCTCTTCTTTTCTGTCTCTTTTCGTCCTATTATTCCCCTTTTCCCTCACCCCAAGTGTAGGGTAGCCAACCGAGCCAAGCTTGGTTAACCTCCCTGCCTTTCCTCTCTATTTATCTCTCTCTCTCTCTCTCTTACATTTCTTTTGTTGTTTTAAAGGAAATTGAGGGGCACAAAAAGTTCTAACTTGTGTTTATGCAAAATAAAATTAATAAGTTACCAACTTCGTCCAGCAAATATCGCTAATACCTTGTTTTCGGGGGTACAATTTTACCAACTGTGTGACATTTCATATCGTGAGTGTCATCTACCTACACGTCACGTTGTCAAGCACGCTTGCACATATAAGACAAAAGGGCTTCTGAGATCACCCATAAACTGCTAAGTTCATTAATTTGGACAAAACGCTTGAGTTTCATTACGATGTGAGGTTCTCATATTTCAACTTCTTCAGGAACATGCGTTTCAACAACGTCGATTGCTCATTGTTTGTGCTTATATATCAACAAAAAGGTATCTTTGTTCGAAGCATTGTTTCACCGCAAACTTCTTGGCACTGAACATAGTTAGCTACCCACGGTTTTGAGTTTCGAATCTTTTTTTTTTTCTTATTGAGAACGAAGCAATACACTTTTTTTTTTTTTTGCTGTGTGCACCGGCTGACTTCGAAACATCAACTTTTATTTATTAGGCCGGTGACATGTTGCGCAGTGCCCCACGCTTTTGATTTCTTCATTTGCTCTCTCTGGAACTAATAACGCAAATTTTACAAACGCTTTCCTATCGCACCTCTCGCTAAAGCGTCTCTCATACGCCAGTTCCTGATAAGTGTTTTCAGCGACGTCAGCTCCACTGAACAGGTAAAGAAACATCTCGTGCGCATCTGTGTGGCCTCCTTCCCGCTCAGTGGGTCAGGACGCGCGCACTCTATGCGCAGAACCGCCAAAACCCAGCCAGGCACAGTCTCGACACGCACGCAAACAAACTACACAAGAAAAAAGCGAGACGTGAACAAGAAAATAAGGCATAAAATCACTGCTGGGTGACCTATCCGTGGGGGAGACGGGTTCAACCGTCGCGTTTACCGCTATTCGCGCTCACTCTCGCTCCCAGCCTATCACGTTCCATGCGAGAAGACACCAGCCGCACGCGCTGAGACCCCAGTCTCGACTACGGGCCCACCACTGCTTCTCCCACCTCGCTGCTCTCCTCTCGCACCGCAGTAAACCGTCGCCACGAACTCCAAAATAGAGCAGCTATGTTTGGCCGCGGCCCGGGGTCCGTTGGGAGCCCTACGCGTTATCTCTAGTGTCCTGCCCCTCCCCAAACGAGTGCCGGCGCTTGCACCGTGGCCAGAGTGCACTGCAAAAAATTCAACAGCTTCTCAGGGGGGGAAAAGCGAAAGAAATAAGGAAAGAAAAGAGACCGGGACAAAATAGCAACATCTTCAAAAACCATTGGGCGGTTGCAGTGGCACAGCACTGGTAGCGCCATCTGGAGCCGGAAGTCGGAAGTGTCCTAAATGCGTGCCCGCTTTTTTTGTTTTAGGTGTCGCTGGCTGCTCACCCTAATAATTAAACGAGAGAGAAAAACGATGCTGTCCGGACATCCAAGTCCGCGTTATCGCTAAATCTTTCATGCACCAAGACTCGCACGTGCCTCTCGTTTGTTCATACCGCCTCACTCTTGTCGTACGTAACTGCCTTTTAATGAGCCTCGGGCATTATGGGGAATACGACTTGTTTGAACACTTGTCCCTGCTCCAAATGTATCCGCGATGCAAGCATATGTTACATGATGCGTCCAGACTCGTGTTCCTACTGCATTGTCCTTGAGGCGAATGCGTGTTCTTTAAAGCACGGATTTGTCGAGCGTTAATATTACAAAGCCCTGAGCTTAGAATACTATGTTTTTGTAGCCTTTAATAGTGGCAAGTACACGTATAATATTTTTTCACGCACCTGCTAATAAGCAGCAGACAGTAAAAAGAATATTCAGCAGAAGGCACGAATACTTAAAAATTGGCAGATCCCACGTACAGTTGGAATCGATGATATGCGAAACACGAATAAGGAAGGTTAAATTGCCACTCTAAAATCACCACAATGTTACGAGGTGGAGGTAAATTATGCTGTATGTGACTTACGTGTCATGATTGTCACGTTTGGATGTGTCGTTTACCTTCATTGATCCCAAATTTAGTATATGTAGAGCTAGCGAAACGACCGTGAGCACGGTATGAGCGTGGTAGGTTCTCATGTTCTCACATGACACACGTGTCAGGTTATCATGTTTGCACCAGTCATATACTTTCGTCATCCATTGACGTCACGTAACACCAGAGTTGATATATTGTCATGGTTATTAGCCGCAAGTTCAATCAGGTTACAAAAAAAGGACGTCTACCCGCTGCCTCGTATATAGACGACTCTCTCGATCGACTACGCCATGCACGGTTTTTCTCGTCGATGGATTTACGGAGTGGATATTGGCAAATAGAAGTTGACGAAAGAGATCAAGAAAAAACGGCATTTGTGACACCCGATGATCTTTATGAGTTTAAAGTTCTCCCGTTCGGCTTGTGCTCAGCACCGGCAACGTTTCAGCGGCTCATGGACACAGTCCAGTCAGGCCTAAAGTGGCAAACGTACCTGGTATATTTGGACGATGTAATTGTATTTTCAGCGACAATTGACGAGCACTTGAAGCGACTCCAAACGGTATTTCAAGCGATACGATTGGCCGGACTAACACTCAAGCCAGAAAAACGTCACATTGGCTTCGAAGGGCTTCTTTTCTTGGGACACCTTGTCAGCAGTGAAGGTGTACGGCCTGACCCAGACGAAATAGCCGCTGCTGCAAGTTTTCCTACGCCATCACACATGAAGGCAGTGCGACGATTTTTAGGCCTGTGAGCCTATTACCGACGCTTCATTGAGAATTTTTCGCGTATCGCATCACCTTTAACACAACTCACCCGAGAAGACGTTACGTGTGTGTGGAGTGAAGAGCAGCAGGAAGTGTTCAACGAGCTGCGACAACGTCTTGAAAGCCCGCCAGTTCTCGGACACTTCGATGATGACGTTCCGACAGTGGTTCACACCGACGCCAGCAATGTCGGCTTAGGAACTGTGCTCGTTCAGTGGCAGGATGGCGCCGAAAGAGTAATTGCTTATGCAAGTCGGACTCTCTCCCGTACAGAGGAGAATTACTCTACCACTGAAAAAGAGTGTCTTGCGGGGGTGTGGGCGGTCATGAAGTTTCGTCCATATTTATATGGCCGCCCGTTTGAAGTCATCAGTGGTCACCACTCGCTTTGCTGGTTGACGAACATAAAGGACCCGTCAGGACGATTGGCGCGCTGTAGCTTCAAGCTTCAAGAATTCGATATGGCTATAGTTTATAAATCCGGAAAGTGACATACAGACGCCGATTGTCTTTCTCGCGCCCCATTAGGCCGCGTTCACACTGAGCATTCCGGCCGCCGAAAGTGCTCCGAATCCGGTTCGGCGGTGGCGAGATCCGCTGAAAGAGCCCTCCCCGCGCCGATCGCTCTCAGACCGATTTTTGCGGCGTCTGCCGCCGAATCGGTCACCGCGGACCAATAGGAGCGCTAGTCAAGGAATTTTGAAAAATGGCGGCCAAGCCCTACTCACTTGTTATGCCGCAGTGCACGTAACTGAATGTTGAAACCAACGGGAGTTTAACTTACTCTGTGCCTACTTCACCTCTGTATTTCGTGTAAGAGGTGACTGAGCTTGCTGTTGGCGTGACCGAGCTTGTTGCGGTCTTGCAGAGCAAAACGAACCCACCAACGCCGCTGGCGTTGGTGGTTTTTTCTGCGCATT